TTTTTTACCCTTATAGAAAGCAGAAACATTCATGGTCACACCTACAAAAAATATCAATTAATTATAACATTGAATAAATAACTTATGCATCGTGAATTCAACATATACAATTATTTAACATGGGACCCACCGGTGGGTCCCATCGCATTATAAGAAAAACATTATCTTCAGATGCGATGGGACCCACCCGTGGGTCACTGTTTTTCTTACCTAATCAAGCTGTAACATATGAGAACAAAACTCTGACAACCTCACTCCGTGCTATCTCAGATGCATCTGAAGTTATCGTACAGATACCACCGTCGCAACAGGAGAATAGCGTCGATATTGGCCGTCGCCGTACACGTAACACAGTGGTGACCCACCGGTGGGTCACATCGCAGGAAACGTGTTAAAAATACGCTAGATTTAGCGGAAAAATAGCTAAATTTTGCAATACTTGGCTCCAGTCCCCCGGCGACTCGCTTCTCTTTCTACCTTGCAGCAGTCAATGAGGTTAGGTTAGGTTCGGAAAAGTTTTCTTGGGTTGAGAGTCAGGGCAAGTGTGGTGGAAGGAGTATGCTGGGTTGTAGCCTTCGTGAAGACTATTTTACTGGCTGGAGCAGTGGCTGTGGGCTTATGGAGCCTATGGAGTATGATCTAGTCACTCAGCTTCATAGACAACTACTCAGTAGTATGCTTACGCAGGGGGAGGATTATGAAAGTAATGACTGTATTGGGCAATGCTTAACTCTAACATGCATTCCATGCATTTCATGTACCGTTACGCACACTACACGAACAATGCAAAATACCCATCATAAACACAGTCATCCATCAGCAAGCTCGTGAAACCTGGTCCACCATTACAACACATTTACAGCTCCTCAGTCTTGCATTCCATCGAGTTACTGTTGTCAGAGAGCGTTAGACAGATAGTAATTTCTAACATTGAGCAGCGAAGACAAGCTTATCGTCACCGGTCTAGGAGGCGCCATTATTCTCGGGCTAAATACATGAAAATGAATTGAGAAAACAGAAGTCCTAATTTAGTACATTAATTAACACCAACAGTCACATATTCAGATTACTTAACCTAGTCACGGACATACAAAAATGACAGTGGCACACGTTACAGCCGTAACACTATTTAAACGGAGGTCAAGTCAGGATACGCATTCAGGATTGCAACAACTTTTGAAGGGACAATGGCTCAACTTGCTGAAGCCAGTCAAAAAAATTAGTATCATGACGAATTCTTAGAGGTAACGAGAAACAGATCAGAAGAAGCAAAAGGCCCTCCTACTGCAGCCACCAAAACCAAAAAGTAACGTTGATAATAATTGATGGGGAACACTAACTTCATCAGGCGACCTGCGCACAAAAAGTCACAGGCCTCCCAGACTGGTACGCTACTGTGTTGTTGAAAAGTTCTTAGTAGTATTCATCATCGGAAAACCAAATGGTGCCATCAAGATGCGCTCTAGAACCCAAAGACTTTAAGAAAAATTCCCCACTACTGCATCGCCTGCGTAAAGCAGCGCCGGTTATTCTAGAGATTCAAAATACACTCTCTAGGTTTCCCATTACCAACCCTGTACGCATAACCACTTATACTCCCATACTCCCACTTGTACAAAGGTCTATCTGAACCTCGACGTTTTGGTTGCGTCGGCGTCTGGGTGCAGGGCCTATATACTTTCAAAAAAAGTTAAGAGATCGTAAGTTCATCAGCCAATCATTGACGGCCTATCGAGCAAAATCCACCAATCACAGACAAGGAAATAGAGCGTAAGTACTTACGTTCACTTAGCGAGTTTTGAAAGTATGGCCCGAGTCCAAACAACGAACCGACCACAAATCCCACCGCCCCACACGACGGGTAATCTGCGTTTGACGCACATTGGGTGCGTTGTTATCTGGGCAGTCAGTTGCGTCCATATGCAGTTCCTCAAATAACGATAACCGAGTAAATATTGGTGCATTTTTGTCTATATAGCTGAAAAATATCATAAAGCTTCTGTAATCATAGAATATCAAACGTTGAGTTAGAACTCCTTATGGGAGAATCACAATTTTGTTTGAATGAATCATATTTTTTCGCTCCGTGTTTATCAGAAACAATTTGTATTTTGGAAATACAAATTGAGGAAACTGTTGTTAAATTGAGGAAAAATGAGGATAATGAAGTAATGCTATTTTATGGTTCAAACAAATTTGATTTATAAATTAATTTTTTAAAAAGTTCATTACTTTCCGAAGGCAGATGCTGGTGGAAATTTATTGCGAATACTAAACGACTGTCAGCTATAGGCATTGCAGAGGCCGCAACGAAGACCAAACTTAAATTATTACCGTATTACGTGCCGGTGCTGTCGGAGTGCGGCTTAATTTTGCTACAAACATCGTTTGCGTGTGGAATTCTTTCTTGGAGTTTTTGTCTCTAATTTACGTTAACTCTGAATTATCAGATGCAGGTGCACGATTATTGAGCTCATTGAGATTAGATTTAATCGGTAACGGATAATATTCTATCACTTAATACGTACTCATTTGGTTACGAATTACATGCGCTTGATGTGAACAAATGGATTAGTAAGAGAAATTTTAGTCTCATACAATTCAGCAAATCTGTAATAATACGAATTTAGACATAACGAGTTTGCTTTATCTATTATTATATAATACTGTAAGTTGCTCAAGTATTTCTTCGCATATGTGACCTGCTTTAACTTAAATAAACTTTTACTTTTAACTTTTTTTAACTTTTTTCATTCAAAAACCTTTTAAGTTTTTACTTTAATTACAAAAAGGCTAGCTTTTACTTTAAATGAAGCTGCAAATTAATAATTACTCTGTTATTATTAGTTAAATTCGAATAAATAATTATTTAAAATGCATCCTATTTCAAGAAATAGTTACTAATAAGAATACGCATGGATTCAAATTGAATGAAAGATATCATAAAATTAAAAAAATCGAAATAAAACTTTGTATATAATTATTTACAAATAAATGAAAATTTTTTTTTGTGCGTAGACGCTTGCTGTATTGATAACTTTCATTCAGATAGTGCCTAAGATCATAATTTACTGACATACCAACTCTTTACTGCCTCCCATGTAATAGTAACATAATTATTTGAATATATGCTGATGGTTGACAAATCCGTCTATAAACAAAATACCGCGATTTACTCTGCATTTTTGGGGGGAGCGATATCAACACCCATGCATACAACCATTGCTGTCTAGACATTGTTAAAAATTTAATCTAAGTCAAATCAAAATTTGTGAATTACCCGAAAAAATGTATCAGTAAAATTTTTGGCAGTATCTTGGGGTAACTCACGTGTTATGCAACTGTATTGGAGTAATATTTTGAAATGGATGATCAATGCAGTTTTTTAAGTAATCATTTGATTTGGTAGTTTTATTTTTTGGTTATCAAATCAATTGTTTTGAAAATTATTTCCTTTTAAAATATATTGGCTGGTTGAATCTGCCTTGAAATAACCTCGGTTCGTGACGTTGGAATCCTGTTGAACACTAGTCTATGTGACGAAAATTTAGTCAACATCATTCTTTCCGAGTCGCGTCGACGTCATTGGAAGCCTGTTGAAGGCTAGTCTTGCATTAAAATTTAATCAACAGCATTCTTGCCGAGTTACGTTGACGGAACATTATTGAAATGATGTTATTCGTATGACGTTGTTTCAACATTGAAAAACTGATGTTTAAATCGCATTGATAAAATCTTGGTTTTGAGAATTAAATCGACGTCCTCAATGCAACGTTGAAATCATGCTGATACATGACCGGATTTCATCCTCCCCGAATTATAATCTATCGGACACACATATGACATGAGCATCATATTACAAGTTGATATGAGAAAGGGAATAGCTTACGGCTTTAAGCAATGTATGCGCATATTTTTAACTGGTTATAAGCCACAGCCTTCAACTTGGTGGGGCCAGCATTGTTTTTTCAGTGCGCCATATATTAACTAGTTAATGATACATGATATTTCGAAGATATTGATGGCACTGACACACTGTGACTGTCACGCCACACTCACATATTTTTGAAAACTGCCTCAAATGCAAAAGTTTTTAAATCCAATAACGAAGTAGACTCCAATTTTTATTGACTCGTAATTTTTATTGAAGAATCAAAAAACGGTCTAGTGAACCAGCAAACAAAGTTGACGCTTAGCGGTTCACATGACTAAAAATGATCAGAATAGGCAATTCTAACTTTAGTTTATTGATGGAATTTCACACTATGATAAATATTTTTTTACATAATATGCTTGCAAGAAAATAATCGGAATTTTTAAATTTGCAATCAAATTTTGTTTTCATGGAGCATCGGAACCTATAGCTCAAATTATAGCCGGAGACAGCTAGATTCTGGATCTATATAGAACTAGATTTTTCGACGGAGATTTGGAAGACTCTTACTAGAAGTCATCAACAACTCCAACACACGCTGCATCTCCAGAGAATGCTGGAGATGGAATTTGTTTCATCGAATGCTGTCGTAGTGAACGGTGCAATGATCCTTATTAATAAAAAAAATTCATCTACGGAAACCAAATTTAAATTACCTGCCAGTTATTGGTTGTGACCTCAAAATAATTAAAATTTAATTGATAAATGATTAATTTTCTAATACCTCTTCTGATTAATCTATGTTTGCTGAATTTTTGTATCCACCAGTTAAACCAATTTCGTGGCATAATCCTTTAATTTGTTCCTTCAAATATTGAGAAACCATCTAAATATTCTTTGTGCGTGAACGCTTTACGACATAACGTTTCCAGATCTATTATTATAACATAGTCTTAAAATGATAAGAATTTCATTGCCGGTACTCCTAAATATAAAATTTTCAGGTTGTCGGGGCCCATTTGATAAATAAGTAAATGTGAAAATAAAGCCGCCTGTGGCCACAGACATTTACGTACGATTTGCTGGAAAGCTTAATTGCGAACAAAGAAGGATGAATAAAACTGCATGAAGGAGCAAAAAAATTAATTGAAATAACATAACCTCAGGTAGCAGTTCGGGTAACTTTTATTTATATTAATTTTAGGTATGTTACAAATCTTTACACGTCGAATAAATCAGCAGAATATTATTTGGCTAGTTGTTACCCTCTATATTTAATTATCACTTCTTTCAAGTGAAAAATATGATATAGCAGCAGCTAAGTTAACGTCAAATTCCATTATGCAGTTCCAGAGCGCCACGAATGCCTTCGCCAGGAATGCCTTCCCCGGGAATGCATTCATCCGTTAATTAGCAGGTGACGCCGCGGCTGGGAGCCTCTCAACGCCAGCCTGGGGCGGGGTCCCCACAATGCGGTCGCTGGCGCAGCCGCGCGACACTGACCTGATGGAGTTGTCTGGCAGGCCGAGCTCGTCCATCTACCGTGGAAATTTCAGACGTCACATTTCATCGTACCAATGCCAATCATGTAGTAGTATGAATAAAAGGAACTTCATCTTGGTTTTGCATTCGTAGCGAAGTATTTTTTATTATAAGCGGTCATTCTCGCATATGCACACGAACAACGTTCACGTGTTAGCACTTAAATAATTGAAGAGTGTTTTCATGACTATTCTGTTTCGTGGTATTGTAATAAATTGATGTACTTCCGGTCTTTCTCTCATCCTATGCGCTATATTATATTTGGTGTTCTCTTTCGCCATACTGTACAGAAGCGTCGGCGGTAAGTTCACTGAGGCTTTCTCTATTTACGCGCTAGAAGTAGCTCATCGGCTGGCTGAGTGGCGTTTTAGACGCTTTTGGCAACTCATTTTGGGACAAGCTTGGATAGTCACTTTCGTGCGTAATTTCTACGCACCGATTTGTTTCAGTGCGTTTAATTACTAATGGCCAAGCCATCGCCAGACTGAATTGTATTGTCTCTGTTGCAGCCACTAATCTTGCAATTAAATACCTTGTATAAAGTTGTGCGGTCAGTGATGGAGTAGACCCTCAAAAGTATGACGTCGGATTCTACGTTATAAAGTAAATGTTTGCTAGTGTAAATTTTTGCTGTGCCTGTATGGCGGAATGTTTTGCCTGAGTGGATCATTGAGCCGAAAGATCTTTATGTATATATATATGGTTTCGTAATTTTAGTTGTTGTTAGTATGGCAGTGTGTCTGTCCATGGCTGTGAAGGTTTTCTGCGGCAGGTTAATTGTGAGCTGGTTGAATTACAGTTTGGTATGAGTTCATTTCTCACATGAGTATAATTCTTTCACAGCGATATTCTCTCAGCAGTAATTATTCAACAGTCCGCAAACATACAAGATGAAATTATGATATTCAGGGACAGGTTTGGGGTCTGTGTAACTTCTAAATTGTTTTGTTGATAAGAAATAGTCAGTGCCTGGAGCTGGGGCCATACTATCAAAAATAGCCACCATCTAGCAACTCAGTCAGCCAATCTCTGAAGGATTTTCAATCTAAAAACCACCAAACACAGATGAGAAATCGGCTGTTACGCGTACTAACGTCCTTAATTAGGTTACTAGGACTACTTAATCGAGTTTTGATGGTACGGCCCTCGGTATGAAGGATTATTTTAATGTTCGTCTCCAGTTTTTCATTTCTTGTTGTCGCTTTCGCTGAATCATGGATGCCTCGGATCTTCTGATGTCGCGATTGTCTATGACTTAAGTTCTAGGCTAAAAGTATGTGTCCTGAGTCTCGGTTTGGGGTCTCGAGCGTTCAGAAGGGATTAATGGTTGATTAGGTGACTTCGATAATAATGTGAGAGGAAGGCGTGATCTTAATTAAAGATGGACTCAATGTCGTAGTGGTTGGTTAGTCGTGAAGTCGCCCCTATAGCAATCTGGGACAAGCCCGTCGGGTTAGGATCAGGGGAGTCCCTTTGATGAGGGAGCATACGAATTGAGGTAGGAAAGAGAGCAAAAAAACATACTTATACAGTGCATGGTGATAGAGCGATTTAATGATGACGTGCTCGTACGGTTGGGAAGATGCTAATTAATCGGGAAACCTAAGAGTATGAGACTAAGAAGAATGAACTACAATCGATTGTCATGTAGGGCCTTCAACCACTTTACATGAATTAGATTGGTCCACTCATTCAATCATTCTTTCCACTCTACATGAATTAGAATGATCGACTGTTTGTTGGAGGAAGATTAGTTCATGGAATAGATGTCGGTGTATGGCGTTCGAAGGAAGGCCGACAAAGAGTGGTTGGCGTATGATTTGTCAATGGAGTGGACTGGCTTAGAAGGATGTATCTAGTCTCCTAATTATTGCAAATGCGGTAAAAATCGCATTCAACAAAAAAGCTACCGGTAACAGGAGCGTGCAAGATCTTGAATGGGAAAATCTCAATTAATGAAGATCATTTGTATAACTAACTTTTACAAACATACTTATCATTCTGTCAATTGTTTATCATGCTTTCATCATCGCTTTTAAAGAATACTTTAAAGGTAGAACTTTTGCTTCCACTATCTTGAGCAAGAAATACGTCAGCACGGATCTGAAACAATGTCAGAAATTTATAATACTGGCGGTGGGCCCATCATCTGAGCAAGCACGTAATTCACAAAAATTTCGTACAGAAATCTTGGGACACTTAAAACTGATGAATTTATTTGCATATAATTTTCGAATGACATCAGAAGGAAAAGGATAGAAAATTAGTTCTTACCGAATAAACACGTGCGTAGTTGAGTACTACTCCGCCGTTGCTGACCATTTCGTCAGCGTAAACGCACACGGAAGCGTCGGTGAAATCAACTCCTCTGGAACCAACAATAGGTTTGCAAAAGAAAATACGAGAAAGAGTTGAGAAATTATTTTTTCATTCATGGATGTTCCAAGATTACTTATTTTGCGATTGTATGACGTTAATGCAAATTAAATTGCGAGTATTTGAAATAGGTAACCACTAGCAATTGGACTGGGCTGAGGACTCACGTGTAGAACGTCCATCCAGACTGTCCAGTTATAATCAGGGATGAAACGGCCAGATCCAAATTGTCCAAGTATGCAGCATTGATGTTACCTTTGAATTCAGCGCCGTGAAAAGAGTTACCCTCGTACAAATTGTAAAAGTTGTCATTCAGTCCGAATTCGCTTCCAGCGTATCTGAGCGAGGATGCCTGCGTTAAAAAACATTTAATTTTTAATATCACTGTAGGACTTTGCATGTTGGGAAAGCGGGGCTCATTGAGCGGGGCTCAACGTCAATTAATTTATAAATTAGAAGGTACAGCACATTTTTATGCTGCATCTTTCAATGTACTGACTCTTAACTGCTGTTAAATTATACTCCTCTTTGATGCAAAATATAATATACGTAACTCTCTGTTCCCCATGTCTCTTTGAACACTACTTCAATGAATAAATACCAAATACCGTCATATTTTATGAATTATTCACACACTATTATACACCTCTATTATCACCACCGAAAAAGTTTACTACAATCCTATCATGTCAAGTATGACTTATACGTAAATCTACGTTGACTTGGGTAATAACTCTGGTGAATAAGCCTAATTCAAACTATATTTCCAATTAACTGAAGAAAGAACAAGCAAGTACTACAACGTTTAGAACCAACAGAAAAAAAACATAACTTTGAGGGCTTTATCCTGCACATCATTCATGTCAAGACTAAGGGTGCAGCCATGCATTGGTCACAAATTGGACACCCAAAACGTCCAACTTAAGCTTGAAACAATTATCCTCAGGTTCTTAACTAGCCAGTCAAAATTTTGAGTCAGCTTTCGGACGCCTAAAAGCTGCAATTCTCGCCTTGGAGGTTAATCAGGCTTGAATCGTACGCCTTACAGTATTCGGCTTTTATTTATGAGCCTTTTGCGGGAATTGATTGCCCGATGGAACGAATCTGCGTAATATGACCGAAAAGAGCAGCTGCATGCTTCGTGAGAGCCTGGTCAAACTCTGTTATCAGAGCGAACCATGACCATCTCCTGCTCATGGAAGCGCGTGCACATGTACATTTGTTAGCTCATACGGTGGATCGTGATGAGAATTTACTTAACAAATTTTTTTGAGTTTACGTGTTATTTAGATAGTAATTTCATTAATTATACACCAAAAATGGTTTTTTAGACAAAATAAAAAATGGCGCGAAATTACTTTTCCTCAATGGGGGATGCAGAAAAAAATGAACTTATTTCGAGAAATTGGACCGGTTTAGGCAGTTGTGGATTTACAAGTCCTAAATATGGCGTTAAGCATTCAACTTTTTAGGCTACTTAGCTCTATCACGCTTGATCGGAAAGGAGTATGATGTAATGTCTGGAATCGGAAATTTCATGTCTCTAGCATGCCCCACCAAACTAAATTATGCATAAATTCAGTTTCCGGGAGTTATTATTTTGCCCCAGTATAGGAGAATAATTAACAATTAATAATTATTGTTCTAGACAATGCAATCCAGTTTATCAATGTTTAAAAGTGTATGCCATTCCCCCAAATAAGTACCATTCTTTACAAATACTTCTTACCTTCTTGTAAGTGGGATGCTGTCACTTAATGCTTAATTATCACTCTTTTTTGAGATTCCTTAATCAATTTTCATAATAGTATTGAAGTCACTCTGGTGCTCACCATTTTCTGGCATGGGCCGGCCCATTTTTTACAGTCATCCACGGCAATAATGCTACAGATGCCGCCAGTGAGATTCGGGTTGAAGTTGACGTTGTCGTAGGCAATCCAACTGTTGATAATTTTTTGCATCACTAAATGTCGCGAAAATGGTAATTTAAGAGGCGAAAAACTTTCATTATATGTTACTTAGTTTAAAAATACGCACATTGGCCATCTGATTATAAATTAAGATTATACAGGATACGGTTTCTCAAAAAAAGATACTCAACTTTGAATGGCTGCAACTCGAAAAGTAAAATGTTAAAAATTTTTGGAAGGTCAGGATTTGTTTCCTATGTTTTTCTGCATCTCTCCACCAAAAATCAGACAGATCGATGTAGCCATAAATTCGTAAGCTCACTCGTCATTGACATACCATGTCTGAACAAATTTTTCTTCTAACAATATGCTCAGTTTTAATCTTGCGAGATTTTCGGAAATGATTTTGAAAAACTTAACGACTTCTGTTGACAATTCTTGCAAGTTTATTAATTTATCGGTCGCATGAAAGATTTTATCGACATAAAAGCGCATCTACAACTTCATTTGGCGACGAAAATGTGGATGCTGTGAATGTTGACTCATCTAATAATGCTGTGGATGTTGACTTTAACACTTCGGTTGAATTAAGAAGTGAATCTCTTGTCTAAACAACAGCTGTTTAAATCTCATGGGATTATCAGTTTTGAACACTGTTTTTGCATTTGCCAGAAAAATTGCATATAAATAAATGGCGTTGGCCTGGGACTGCCATTTAAACGAGACGAACATTTTCATGGTTTTTCAAGATACTTTTTTTGGCAAGCCTATTTCCTAATGATTTCAAGCCCTTAAATGATACAGATAAATTGATTATAGATGACGCCCATTTTAATCTTCAAGCATCCAACTCAGCGGTTTTTCATCGATTAGCTTAACGTGAAAGAGTTTAGGATAAAATTTACTATAAAGTAAAAGTCACAAATCACAAATGGTTTTTCGTTTCTTGATCGGGAGGAATTATATCTTAAAGTCCGTTTCAGACACATATTTTTCAAAAAATCGACTTTCGCTGGTTAGATACGAGCTTATATAGATTTTATTCAATTTATGTTAAATTTAATGGAATTCAACCACCACAAATAGAAAATTTTCTCCAACTGAGATGCTGTACATTCTGAATTCGAATTAATTCGGAACATTTTATTAACGAATGGCGTTCTCATCTCCATCGAACCGTTTTTTAGGGTGCGAGTTATGGCCTGCAAGTCTCATCATCACTCTAATTCATATTCCTTTGGTAGTTTAGTTCAACACGCTGAGGGCGTATTAGCCTCTGTAGTTTAAGTAATTAGAGCCATAGGTGTCGTAAATTCAAACCCATTGTTCAAGTCAATCTCGTCTTCATGGATGTGCATGAATGCAAGCTGCGGCGCTACTAGGAATGTATGGAAAAGAGCATGAGATGGCACATGCAGTAGTGGCCATAAAAAAGAAGGGTAAATGAAAAAAAACAGTAGGAGGCGTAAAGAGGCGCATTGCGCATAATTTGGTTTGTTATTGGTGTGTATGGTTTGGTTGGTGTTGGGAGAGGAAGAAGGAAGTAGGAACCCGTTAGGGCTTTGGAAGGTTTACCGATCGAAGGAGTGATGAGGTTCATTATAATCAATTATTTACAAGTTTGAGTACTATTACGGAAAATATAGGTGATGCGTGTTCTTGATTCGCATGCGTTTCGTTATTTTTTTTCATTTTGTATGTTATATTTCATTTTTTGAAAGCTGATATGATGATGATGCTGATGATGGTGGCGGTGAGTCGCTCGAGACTCCGAATCAAGGTTTTGTTTAGTATTGCTGGGTTGTCGGTTGGTCTACTCCATCGTCTTTCCTGTGTCAATCTCGACGAGTCGCGGCGGTCCGTCAGTGTAATCGGACTGTTGCGGCTGGTTGTGGTAGCGAACACCTGCCAACCTGACGAAACGGGCCCATCATAGCGCATTGGATGATGGTGTGGGTTGTGTGGTTGGTGATTACTTAGCTTGTATTGGGGAGGGCGGGGAACCAGTGCGTATTATTTAGAGCTTTTGAATAGCCGGTGCAGTCTTGTTATGGCGTTTGGAGGAATGAGAGGAACGAATAGTTGGGTATCATATGCTTTGATTAAATTGTGGACGATTTTCTGCGTGCTTGTTGGTGAAGGACTGTGTTTATTGTAGGAATTTTGCGTTGTTCGTGTAGTGTTCGAGAGGATATGAAGTCAGACCATTGTGTGTTTGCAATGAATCAAAGTGCTTTGACCATCTTCAGTTCGGATATGTATGATTTTAATGTTTATGAAGGTAGTGAAAAAAAAAAATCGCGTTTTGAGTTGATACTTGAGTTGGGAAGTAGTGATGCCTTTGGCACCAGGTGCTATCTGTTTGTGTGTTATCAACGTTCATTGTTGTTCTAAAATACTTATGGATGCGAAGTCTACTATATATAGGTGGAGTCGGGTGAGGTCGCCGTGATTGTACGAGTGAAAAATTTGTATATTGTTGTTTATGTTGTATCGTATGGTGCGAATGTGATCGAATTCAAAGTCTTAACTGTCTGTGTCATTTTGAGTAGAAATGTCCTGCCGGTGTTTGAGGAAAATGGGTTATTTTTGTTCTGTTGAGTCATGTTCTATGCTGTGTTTGAGGTATGGGACAGCTTGTATGGTGTTAGAGACTATTATGCGTTTAAGGGAAGGCCTGGATTGTTTGGGATCTGTTTGTGTTTGCAAATTCCTAATGTGGAGCTGCCATGCCTGTGTTTGCAGGTGCTAGTGGTGGAACGTGGGTGTGAATGAAGTGGAGTGCCTTGATATTGTGTTTGTATAGGTAATGTTTCGGTAGTGGGTTTGATGACGGTGATATAGTGTGGTGTGTTATGATGTGGATGAAGATATTAGTTGCGTTTTGTATATGTTTTGTATAATTGTCTAGACGTGTGTCTAGTTCTTCTGGTTGTGAGAGTACTGTGAACTGTAAAATTGTCTGTTTCTGAAGGGTCCAGTTTGCTCGATGGAAAGATCTGCGGGAATCAATTGATATTTGCATGGGGTTGGCAGAAATTGTGGTTTTGCTATTGTGGGCGCTGAGGGTATGAAAGTTGGAGGCGAATGTGGCTTCTTTTGCTCTGGGTTATTAGTGTGTAATTGTTTTCTTATGTGGTTGGAGATACTGTTTCCTGGTGTTGTGTGACTAGCGTTTATGTCTACGAGGAAGTAAAGGGGGTGAGGTATGTTTAATAATGTGTAAATGTTTATGTAGTCGATGTAGTCAGTGCGAGGTGGTATGTGTGTTGTTCCTATAATGATGGAAACTGGTTGAGTGTCCATTGTAATTGCGAGCATGTCATTGTAGAAATTGTCGTGTAGTTTGTATTTTAGATCTAGTTTGATTGCTACGGCAGCAATCAAACAGATTGCTAAGGCAGCAATCGTGGTGTGTGTTGTCTTTATTGCAGCTAAGCACTTGAAACTTGCAATTGAATATTTTGAAATGGGTGATGTGGTCTGCACAACACCCACTCCTTTTTCCGAGGTCACGGTCTTAGTTGCGAATTATGGCTTTCGAAGATGGAAGGGTATTTTTCGGTTGTCATCTGTTGGTTGTTGCGATAGATTGAGTAATGATATTCTGAGGTCGTTATCGTCAATAAATTGAGTCCTAGAGTTGAAGTCAAAGTCAGGGTCTTCCTCCCAAATTGGTTGTAAAAAAATTACAAATTCTTGACGAGTCTCTGTCTGGGAATGTCGCATCCATGTCGTAGTCGGCGTTTGGAGATTTGGAGTGTATGGTGCCAAACTCCTCTGCCGGAAAAAGGCTGGTGATGTGGATCCATGCAGGTATGATTGCTATCAATTTTACTTGCGTCTTGTCGGTAAGTGAAGTGTAAGGCTGAGTTGTAAAATGTAGAATTGTGTGTTTCGCTATGTGTCGAGATTAATTTTGTCTGGTTGGTTTTGTGTTTGACTGAGTGATTTAACTGAAGTTGTTAACTGAGATACCTTCTGATTTAACTCGAGGGGATTTGACTTTTGACATAACAAGGAACCTACTTTTAATATAAGATTATATATCAATAACGATGAGATACAATCGTATGCTAAACGACATTCGTCGTTTGCGTTCCCGCCATATTTAGATTTATTTCTAAGATATTTTATTTGTAAAATTGTGACTTGATCCATGATTTATTGACTTTAGTGTGCAATTATTTTATCGAAAAATGTTGTTTTTATTGTGATAATTGTAATGATATACTGTTTTGTAAATCAGCGCTGTCAATCTTCTGTACCATAGTTTAGGCGAGAACGGCTACGTCGCCATCTCTGCGTGAACAAGCTGGACATCTACGAGCTTTATGTTCTATGAATAGTTGATCATAACATGCAATCATGTTGCCAGAAGGTTAGTATTTTTACTACTGTGATTCTATTGAGTTGCTCTTTGCTACTTCTCGTTGCTCTTTGGTAAATGTTTTATTTGCCTAGGCGAAGTGCTACAAAGTTCTCGACTCACGCGTTTGCGAGTTAGGTATCTACAGGAATTATTCTATTATATATCGACTTTCACCTTTCAATGTGTGGCCAAAGGATTAAATTATGATTCTTCGGTTTTGCAATTTATTATATTGTCTATTTTCTATGTTAATACCCCCGTAACGGGCTAATAACATAGATGATGTTAATAGCCCGTTCCGTGTACACTGTGAACGAGGTATTGTTGTGAAGTTATTTAGTTGAGTTACCGCTCGCGGACGTAAAATTCTGCACTACTCGGATGTAGCGCGCGGGAGTCTTGCTGCGAATTTGTCCGACACGTACCAACCAGCCCTCGGTCGAACGGCCACTCGTAGAAGGACGATAAATTTTAGAACAGAACTATGCTATCTGAAACCTAACCTCAGATGCGGTGAACGTCAAATTACGTAATTTAACGATGCCCGGAAGTCATATTCCATCCGCAGGCTGGTGGTACACGGCAGGTTTTACACAAGGCCGGAGGAAGACAAAGCCTAGTGGTCGCAGGCTGTTCCAGGCTGCGCGCAAGTTCCAGTTCGAGCGGTGCATGGCCGGGGTATGAAGTGATGGTTCGACGCAACTTTTAGTGGTGGATAGTCATTCGACTCTTAAGTTATTCGACTTCGTGTCTGGGGGATGAAGAGCTCAAAATATTCAAAGCAGAATGATGTCAAGGGTCGGCTACGGATAGCAGGTTCCATTCACGGCTGATTGGTGAATGTCCGGAGAGATGCACGGCGATCGATTCAGGGCTTATTGGTGCCCAAAATTGGTGGTGTGCGGCTGCGCTCCCCCCAAATAAACCTAACCAAACGTCATTCGCTACAGCATGGCGGGGTGAGTGTGGAGATGGGGTTGGACAATGACAATGGGTGAGTGTGGTGTCCATGATGGAGTTGGACAAAGCCCAACTATGAAGACAAGACTGAATTAAGCTGTAGCTGCGGACTAACGTCACAGTCGCTTTAGACAGTTCGGAACTGGTGAGGCTGGCGGTGTTCTTCATCGAATTGGCCAAGCCACAGGTAAGGATTATCATCCTAGAAATTCGCTTGCTCGTCTGCCACATAACGATGAGTGCCTTCACGCCGAACGCTGCAACGTTTCTTTGTCCTAAAGCAACTGTAAGATTTGAACTTCAACCTCCGTTGCTCCTGATTAGGGTTTTGAAATCCTGTGATATCTTACCAGGACAAGCTTGTATTTACGTATTTATGTGCTTGTAGGTAATATGTGTAATATGTGCTTTAAATTGTTGACAGAAACGCTTTTACATTGCTTCTCCTCTGAGCTATTTTTATTATCTGCTGTGTAAATTTAGTCGTTTTTTTATTATACTTCTAATACATTTATATGCTCAAGAATTTTAAACTGGTGAGGACACAGATCTCCCTAACTTATCAATTGAAATTTTCTGAATTATCTTGAAATTTTCTTTTTCTTCAAATTCTTGGTTTTTCATAAAACAAAAAACAATAAATAGGTAATTAAAAAAATTTTTGCACCTACAGTCCAGTAGAGCAGCTGCTGTTGATGGCATTGTTCATTAGAACCACACTCAGGTCGGGAGCGTAATCCGTGAACTCGTAGGAGGCCCCAGACCAATCGGTGCCAGTATACCCAGTCAGGTACCGAAAGTCCCCAGCTTTTCCCTTTCCTGCAGTGGATTAAAAAAATACCTTGAACATCCATGTAGGTGAATAGATTGTAATTACAGTTGATCATGAGCTAAATGAAACGAAACAATATAGAACAATTTTTCCCTTAGATAGGAATTATTAATTAACCGATCAACAGTTACTGAACATCTAAACGGGCTTATTCAGGTTTAAATTTAAATTAAAAAGTTAAAATTTGTGCTGGAAACAACTCTTTAGATGTATTTTTAAGCCAAGCACAAACACTGGAATGACATAACTCCACCAAAACAATTGACAGCAAAGATTACAGTAAAGGCCATCCAGCAGGCAATGTCATGTTGAATCCACGGTTCTTCGCGACGTTGGTGTAACGTTGAATATTAGTCCAGAATGAAAAGTGATTCAACGTCGCTTTTCAAAGTCGTACATTTCGACGTTGTTTCAACGTTGACATGCGTTAAAAGCGTTAAAAAAATGCGTTAAAAGCGCATTTTATAAGGTTTTATCAGGTTAACCTTTTCAATCCTGAATGCCACGGTTTTAACGCGATTTCAACATTGAAACAACGTCGAAATATACGACGTTGATTCACGTTTTATTCTGTATTAATAATCAACGTATTTCAGCGTCGCGAAGTTCATTGTTTCTACGTTGATTCAACCTGCCATTGCCTGCCATTGGAAAGTGATTGCAGATGCAATCACTTTCCTACCAAATCAATAGCAATGTCTATCATAACAAGATTAGGACAAATCCTCGTAGAGGCTTTCGATTTTCAGACTGCAAAATCAGAAATATTTCTTCCGATTTATGTTTGAAAAGAAGGATTTCAAAGTTTATCAACAGCCTCGGAATGCCTCGTCGTCATTTTTTACTCTAGTAAATACATTAACTTTAATTAAAAATCTACTTTTCTCCTTTCTGTCAATATAATTATCAAAAATTTCAAACGCTATTACATTCCAAAACTATATTCGCACTCAGACATGTCTATGATGCCGCTAACCGATAGCGAGCCCTCATGCATCCTTAGTTGTAGCATTAATTACATAAATGGTCGCACAAAGTGTGAGATCACGTCATTAGTTACCTGCATCACCTAGAGTGGTTGCAGTTGCACTTAATATGTAAATTAAGAAAACAGTTAGTATTTTCATTCTACAGAGTTGGCCGCTATAAAAACTTAAACTTTGTAGAAGCAAGGTGGGAGAGTTACTAACGATTCTGAGACTATGGCGCCTTTAAAGTTTTTATCGACATTTATTAGCGTCCACCAACATTATGTGTCAGTTCCCATGGACAGAATGATAAGATAGAAGGCTTCTAAGTTATGGACCATCTCATCTAAATATATTTACATGCAGGTGGCAGTTTTCACACGCCTGCTAATCGGAATTTGAATTATGTTCGGTCGTGTCTTCTTTCGACGTACCCAGGGTTGCTAGAAATGAGTTGATCAAATTATTCTAACTGCCCGGCTTTATATTAATAACACAGGCTGAGAGGAAAAATTCTATTTGTTTACACTTTACCCTCCAGATCCGGTTATTGTCGTTAATATTGATAAATGTTTTTTCATACAATTCTATTCGAATTTATTCATATATGGTGAGAAGCATCATCGCACATTTTCAAGTAATTCAATATTGTTTTTCGTAATATAACCATGTAGCATAAATTAGTAAAATAGCAAGTGTCGGTCATAACTAAGTCATGAAATGCTCTTAATTTGGAGCTGTTGGAACGAATGAGCCGGATTCTACGTATACAAGCGAACAGAGGTTAAAGCATTGTAATGTAAAATACGAGTTTGAATATGAAAGTTAACGGGGAGTGGGACTATCACTTATTATTAATATAATATAAAATTATTGTGGTATATTCTATATAATAGAAATGCTATTATATACATATTTTATTATTTATATATTCTATTATATACTATACAATAGAATATATATTTATATATGTTATACTATATTTATTATGGGAATAAATGCCATGCCATAAAATGAACATGGCGAATTAGATCAAAATTAAGTGCCGAATGATGGTAAGATTAGTAGATGAATCTTTAATACGTCAGATAACACGTACATGCACAATTTACACATGTCTATATGTTATATAAATTTAACATGTCTCTTTCTCCAACATCGACGAAATATGTGTGTGCTAATGTCAGGAAAGCTGTAATCAATTTAGAGTCCATTGACATTCAGAAGCAACTGAACAGATATCCACGCACTGAGAGCAATGATGCATGAGGCTTGACAGCGACTAAGGTGAAATGGTGAATTTTTAGATTTTTAAGCGTAAATTCATTCATATGATCCAAGCAAACACTAAATAAGAAATTTTATCAACGTATTTTACCAATTTGTCAGTACATGCCACAAAGTGCAAGCAGAGCTCTCCGTGTAAATATGGAATATGACCTTGCATGTTATCGGAACGAATGAGAAAGTAGATGAATGGAGTTATTTTATTGCCCATTGAAGATAACGGCCATATCCGCAATGCAGTTCCGAATGGTGTCGAGTAATTTCCCGTCGTCACGCAAAATTTTAAAGAATCATATGCATATGATAAAAAATATACAACCAATCATAAAATAAATTATTCAAACAAATGACTACGTTATTCTCAGCAATAAGTGTGGATTGCGAGTTATAAAAAAATGTCGATTGCGAGTTTTTCCCTGGTTGACATTTTGATCCACGAGAATTAAATATGAAATTTACGTCGACACCAACAACAGAAGAGACGCAAAAACACTTATTTCAGCATTGAAGCAAGGTCGATCTTGTTAAATTGAATTTTGATCCATCTTCCAACAGCTTTGCACCGTTGAAATTTGACCAAACTGCGGGTTAGTAATGACGTTTCCTCCTCTGGTTATAATTGTCAAGGATTTGCAACAGTTGCCACACGACAACAAACAACTACTCCCTGCCTGGCTCAATGAAATGAAAATATTACATTTATTTAATTTGTTTATTATTATTGAATAAACAATATAAATTACAATGACTAATATCAGGTATTAGTTGGCAGTGCGAGAAATGCTTGATGATTGTCATCTCGTATACAGTGTCGGTCATGTTCCCCATTCAACAGCTGTTTTGTCGAGCAATTTAAACATTCTGTTAACGTTGCTTTGAGATTGTTGATTAAATTAAGGTTAGCGATATGTTTAATATTACATTTGAATTCAATCAAAAAATTTACATATTTACCTATTTCTTTGGTCATTAGGGAAAAAATTGCAACTAGTTTTACTTATTAATCACTAATATTGAAATTTTTTCCACAGTATCCTGCAGGTACCTAATTTTACCCAGCTACTGCATGCACACGACCTGCAAGTGGTGATGTGAATATGTTTTATATGATACATAAGATAGCGATTTTCAATATTTCATCACAATATTATTTGTTGTGACAGAAAGATGAGATAGATATCACAACAAAACGTCCTATCAAGCGCTCTTTATAAGTTAATTCTCAACTATACTTGATTTTCTACATGTAAATTGCAATTAAGAGCTAAACAATTCCTACAATGACATAAGTGTTTCAATGATAACCTCTTCAGATCGTTCCTTTTGTTCCAAATTTGTGGTGTTCGGAATTTTAATTGTTCCTTTCCAGCTTGGAAAATGAGAAAGCAATTCTCGCCAAGTTAACGCGACAAGTTAACAATCTCATCATGCGCTGGCGTGAACGTTCACTCAATTTGAAATTGATCCTCTCACACTCAATCTTTCCTCCCTGATTTGTGAATGAAACGTTTTTTAAAAAGTCATTCCACAAATGAAAATTGATATTTCCCTATTCCATGTACTCGAAACTCGTTGAGTTAGCGAAACGATAGAACGGCTCACGTCATCGTACTTTCCCCGATTTTATAAACGTAGACAGCGGCTTGTCTCACTTGCGCAATGAAGTTACTGCGGTGCCACTAGGAAAGTGTAAAGAAAAGAGGTGTCACAGAGTGATCGGAAAAAGGAAGGAGAAGTGGAAAATACAGTAGAAAATGCAAAAGGCGCATAGCGCATAACTGGGTCGGTTGTAGGTGCGTTGGGTTATGTTGGGGTTATTTTCAAGATTATTATTCTATTTTTTTTTTAAATGGAAATAGTGAAATACACTCTACTTTCATGCGTTTACTCCTTCTAACGTATTTACTTCACTACAATAATTAGTTGTAGTGAATTACATGATTTATGTATTGATTAAATTATTATATGATTATGATTGATTTAATTATTATATGATTAAAGGATGATGATATGATGACGTAAAGAATGGTATGATGGGGGTGATATTGGTGATGTTAAGGATGAAGGTGAATGCTATGGGTGGTTCGCTTGAGGTCCAGAAGGTAAGTTTCGTTTTTCCGATTTTTTTCCTTTTTATTGTTATTACTTCGTTAAGGAATGCATGATATGGGATGAGATTGGTGATGACGATAATAATGGTGAATGTGCTGTGTTGGTTGCTCGAGGTAGAGTTTTCTGAAGTAAATGTTCAAATAAACTTCACAGTTAAAAATTTGAAATGCATGCTGCACTGCTCATATCAGGAGAGCAGTTTAGCAGCAGCATTGGAGCCGGAATCCCCGGAAACTATCCCTTTATAAAAATAGAGGCAGGGAGCAGCCGCATTATGGCAGGAATTTCACAGCGTAGTATATATAGGCAACAACTTTCCGTCTACGCCCGTTTCTAGGCAGGTTTGAAAACGGAAAGTTATTGTTATATGTAGTACACTGTGAAATTCCTGCCATAATGCGGCTGCTCCCTGCCCCCATTTCTATCACGAGTTAGCTTCCGGAGATTCTTGCTCCAATGCTACTGCTAATGCTAACGGGCATGCAGTTTCCGTCCACGACCGTTTCGAGGAAGGTTAAAAACCGGGCATCTATTTTGATGAATTGGGGGATTAGGTCGAAGCGGGAGAGGGAATGTTAAACCCACGAATAATAAATAAGTTACAACCAACAACATAAAAGCCTTCATATTCAACGCAACGCAAAATTTTCAACAACGTGCGACGTAAAATATGGTCTTTTACTCATTTCCAGAACTTCATTGACGCAAGGTGTAATCATCTTGGTTCTTTGTGGATATACTGAAGAGGTCTCAATTTCAGGATGAAATGTCAGAGGTAAACTTGAAATTGTAGTCATAATTATCACAATATTATTAGAACGAGATGATATTTTCCTCGATAAGGATTTCATTAGTGCCTGAAATTTTAAATCGGAGGCAAGTTTTTTTCCATTCACTTTTTCTCATGAGATTGCTAACGTTTGTTCGTTAGAGTAGAGCTTTTAAAGCCATAATTCATTCACTCAATTAATCATACCTAAAGGTATTTTTCCATTTTTCTCGCGGAAGAGCTCACATTTTTTTCAAAATCTTGGTAAGTGATTTTTAAATCTTTCAAAATCTTTCAAAAATCTTGGTAAGTTACAAAAATTTCCTCAATAATGACGGTTATTCATTGAAAAATCACTCTCAACATTATGAGCTATTCTCTTAGTAGATGTAAGCACTATTAGGTACGAGTTTTATAATTGGAGATTAAAATTAAATCTGCGAATCTTGTATAATTTTTTTTGTCATAGTTTGTACGGATGTGTTATATGTTTTTGACTCCTGACACAGCGCGTATAGGCAATCACCATTTCAATTGTTGATATATTGCTAGAATTCCATTAAAGATTTTCAATGTCGATGTATTGCTAACCTCTCATTAACGATTTAAATTATTGATAAATTGCTAGACTCTCACCAACGAACCCCACCTGCTACAGAGGCGATCGCCACTTGGATACAAAGGCGGTATAGTAAAAGGGAAATATAAGGGTTGGATATACAGAGGCGGTATAGTAAAACGGGAATATAAGGGTTGGATATACAGAGGCGGTATAGTAAAACGGGAATATAAGGGTTGGATACAGAGGCGGTATAGTAAAACGGGAATGTAAGGGTTGGATACAGAGGCGGTATAGTAAAACGGGAATGTAAGGGTTGGATACCGAGGCGGTAAAGTAAAAGGGGAATGTAAGGGTTGGATACAGAAGTGGTATAGTAAAACGGGAATGTAAGGGTTGAATACAGAAGGCGGTGTTAAAAAGCGGAAAATGGAGGTTCTAAAGAACTAAAAGGTTTGCCCAGCGTTTTACCTGGTTACATCAATGTTTGTTATAATCCAATT